GATCCGCCTGGCTCTGCCTCCCGAGTGCTGGGATTAAAGGCGTGCGCCACCACCGCCCGGCCTCAGATCCACTTTTATTTTTTTCCTCCTCACTTACAGAACTTCTCACACATTTCTTGCAGCTAAAGTCACTTGATGTTGGCGAGTTGTGTTCAAAGTCACAGTGTGCCCATAGGAGTAGGGCCTCTCCACAGAATAAATGTTGTGCTGTCTCCATTTTGTATCAGCTGGACCTGCCCTTCTAGGAATATGAGGCCACCTTGGAGGAGGTGGTGTGGTACACACACTGGGATGACATCATAACATGCTTCCAGATCATAGTGTTCAGTGTCCTCTGAAGTAACTGCCTGCTGCCTCTGCTGCCTTTTGAACCAGTGTACGGTCGCCAGATAGGGACCAGTGAGCTCCCAATTCCAAACATGCAGAGTGGGGGGTCTCGTCTTCTGTGTGTAATTGCCAAACGTCTAAAGCTTAATGTGCTGTGCTCTGTAAATATTTTATGGATTTAACACTGATAACTCATATTTTGATGCCATCCAAGTTTTAGGGATAAAATGGATGAACGTGACAAGTTTTGGGGACGAGTTGTGTTCAGATGTAGAACTCTTAATTCCTTCTCCGGCAGCATGTCTGCCTGCATGCTTCCATGCTTCCTGCCATGACAACAGTGAACTAAACCTTTGAACCTATAAGCCAGCCCCAATGAAATGTTTTCCTTTATAAGAGTGGCCCTGGTGGTCATGGCATCTCTTCACAGCAATAAAACCCTAACTAAAACAATGAAATAAAATAATATCCTGTAACACTAAATGGGTAATGGAAATACCATTATAATTCATGTACCTTTTAAAGGGATCAACACATTTAAGTGCTTTTCCTCTTGGAATAAAATCATGGTTCCTATATATACTATTGAAATAATATCATATTCATCTTATTACTATTTTAAGTTGTTAATTTGTTTCTTCGGGGATGCAGATCCTGAGAGGCTACCCATGCTCCAAAGGATGGCTCACACTCATATACATTTAAGCAACATTAAATGGATTCAGTGGGGATTTAAGAGAGAGAGAGAGAGAGAGAGAGAGAGAGAGAGAGAGAGAGAGAGAGAGAGAGAGAGAGAG